GCTCTGTGGACTACGCGCCTGCAACACGAACGTGACTTTGTGGGCATGTATGCGGGAAATCTGGTCATCAACGTCGTGCTGATTGCAGGCTTGCTGGAGGTCGCCTGGGTTGGGCAGGCGGGCGCTGTTGATGCCCTGGGTCTGTTTCTGGTGTTTGCGATGCTTCTGCGCATGGGCTGGCTGGGCTGGCGTTTGCGGTTTGCCCGTGCGGGAATCACCGTCGCTGACGCTTCTGCAGTCAGGACAGGCCCTTCAACCCTGCCTCGGGTCAGCATCTGGATATGGGCCGGGCTGTCGTCAGGCCTGTTGCTGCTCTTGCCGCTGGCAGGCCGAAGTATTGCCTCGCAGGGGGGCGAGGGTGCGCTGGCCAGCTTCAATTACGCGTGGAAACTGGTGGAGCTGCCACTTGTGCTGGCGGTGCAACTGGTGGCCACCCTGGCTTTTCCGGCGATCACGCGGACCGGGCAGGGCACGCCAGAGCGTGCAGCTGCCTTGCGTGTGGCATTCGCACTGGCCTGGGCGCTGGCTTGTGCGGCGGCCGCCATCATCGCCACCTTCTCGTTGCCGCTGGCCGGCCTGCTGTTCGGCTGGGGCCGCATGGGTGAAGAGCACCTGCAGGTGATTGCCCGCTGGAGCGCCATCGGTGTCTGGTCGCTGCTGCCGCAGGCCCTGATCGCCGTCATGCTGACCGTGATGGCGATCTCGCAGCGCATGCATGTGGCAGTGTGGTCTTATGTTGCCGCCCTTGCGGTGCTGCTCATCTTTGGCCTGATGCCCGACTGGGGACCGGAGAAGGGGGCCGCGGTGATGTGGCTGCTCAATGGCGTGCTGGCAGGCGTTGCGCTTGTGCTCATGGCTGCAGAGCGGCGGACCGTGGCCCATGCCTTCCCGTGGCTGCCCTGCCTGGTATCGCTGGCCGTCGCTGTTCTGCTGGTCGGCCTCAAGCCCGTGTCGGGTGGCCACAGCATACAGTTCACTATGATTGCTTCCTGTGTGTATGGCCTGCTGGTTGTGGGAAGCGCCGTTCTGGCAAGCCCGCAACTGCGCAGGCTGCTTTTTGCCCGGCCTGGGCGCGCCGCAGCGCCTTGAGTCCCCGAAGATCCGCC